GTCTTCTTCTGGGAGTATAAAACCTTGTTGGCATTCTCAGGACAATTTATTTTTGTCTTTAAGCGATCCAAGGTTATGTCGGGAGTCGCACGTTTAGAACCACCCCCTTGTGGGTATGGAGTCTTAACGGGCTCCGAATGCTGATTTTGCATAAGTCCAGACTTCAGAATCCAAACTTGGCGGAGTTTTGGTGATTCTTTGATCACCGTTTCCTTCCTCCTTTCTCGTCTTTGTTGTAAGAGAGTACGGGCATGAACAACATTTGCACGACGTTTTTGTATACGTTCTTGGAGGGTCGAACGAGCCCTTTTGATGAGTGTCCATTCCTCCGTTGTGAATTGTGCAGAAACGTGAGTAGTTCGTCGTTGCGTTGAACGAACCACTTGTTGTTTCCTCGACTCTAAATCCGCATAATAACGAACTCCGTCGGTTTGTTCAAATGCCTTAGCTATTTGACGAGCAAGACGCTGACGCTGTCTCTGACGAGCTCTTTTCGTCAATGTCGTCGGGCTTTGATTCGATGACTCTTCAATTAGATAAGAGCCATTTTGAGCAGAGGTGTTGCGAGTGAAATTCTCAGCAACAATCAAGCGAGAGTCTTCATTTTGTGCCTTCTTTGGCATGCAACTCTTCCTCAATTGTGAGATCCTCTTGTACTTGCGAGATAATGAAGATCTTGAAGAGGATGATGAGAGATATTCCTCAAACTTGGTCTGGTCGAATTCGTATTCGACCATGGATTCAACTGGAATCTTGATCGGCTGCGACACGACATCTTGATGATTGGCTGCGACACGACGGTCTCGGCAGCGAGACCGTTGGCTCCCACTGTGGTCGCCAGCTTGTTTGCGTCAAAAGTTGGTTTCGTTGTGGAATTCATTATATCTTCGGTCGATTACAACAAATTCAAAAGAGATAGTCTTTTTATAAGACTTCTTTTACACAACAAAAGGAAAATTACAACTCTTGAGAAACAAACGCAGGACCGTTGTTTGGATCGCTGCTTGCGTGGGATCTTTGCCTGTGCCGGGAGCGCTTTGACTCGTGGACCACCAAATCACAGATTCTGATTGAACCGTGAGGGGTTTAATGATTCTTCCTTCGTTTATCGAAGTAAGAATTTGAAGCGAATATCTTATCGATGTAAGATGTTCACTCTTCCAAAGATCAAGTCTGAGCTTAGATCTCTAGGACTCGCTAGAAGCTTCTTGAGGATGTTTGTGAAGAAGGAAGACTCTCTCTCTTGCTCTAATTCACCAAAACTCAAGGCTCTCTGCTCTAATCTCTCTGGAAAATGCTCAGCCCCTGTCAATGATGGCCATAGGGGGGTATTTATAGCCTCCTTAGACGATAACTGAAGAAATAGCTGGTCAATAACTGTCTCTTTAGGCGCGGCAGCTGATGCTGTCGCGGCTAAAGGGCGCGACAGTCGACACTGTCGCGGCCAAAGAGCGCGGCAGTCGACACTGCCGCGGCTAAAGGGGCAGTTACACCCACGTTCATACGTGTTTGAAACAGTTCTCCCACGACCTTTAACCACCTTTTTCGTGGTTTAACTGCTTTTCCACATCAGCACACGTTCTATTTCTGATACTCCGCCACGTGGACTTTAAATAATCATCAGATAACTGTATTATAACTGCTGTAGCATCCTGCTTTAACTGCCGCGGCACCATAGGTTGCAGCGGTTAAGCCGCGACACCATAGGCTGCCGCGCCTTAGCCGCGGCACCTTGGTCTGCCGCGCCTTAGCCGCGGCACCTTGGTCTGCCGCGCCATAGCCGCGGCACCATGTCCTGCCGCGCCGCCATATGTTGCTTGATGACGTGTATATTGTTCTTCTATATCGTCTTGAGTGGTGTTTGAATGTCTGTAAGCATTTTTTGACGCCTACATATATATATAGGGAGAGGTTCAAATACAAACCTCACTATCCTAAAAACTAAAAACCTCTCCTCTCCATTGGATCTAGATTCATCCAATGGCTGAGATTAAAGCTGCATAAGGGTAATAAGGTAAAATAAACAGCCCACTAAAGAGAAGTAATTAATGCTTCTCCATTTCCCAAAAGCTTGAACCACTAAAAGCCAATCCTCTCACGTTCTCCTCTCTCTCTCTCCATTTCCCAAAAGCTTGAACCAGCCCTCTCTCTCTTCCTCTCTCTCACCATCAAACAACCCAGATCCGAGCTCCTCCACCCCCTGCCACCTCGCCATCATCCACCTCCGACGACGCCAACGCCGAACCCGTAGATCCGCCAACGTCAACCCTTCAAGCTCGAGCACCCCCTCGGTTCGTCGCCATTTTCTTTAATTTCAATTTGATTTTGGTTTCTTTTTAGGGTAATTGTTGAAGTTGCGATCTTGGTTCTAGGATTTGTTTTAGCTTGGGGTTTCTCTTATACTCGATCTTGGTTGTTTGTTTTGTTGGATTATCTTTCAAAATTTGCAATCTTTTTTAGGGTTTCTATTAAAATATTTTAGAAATTGCAATCCTGTTAGTTTTTTTGTTAAAATTGGTTAAAGTTCAGAATTTTAGTTGTGGGGTTTGTTTTAGTTGCTGTCCTAAATAATTGAATTCACTGCAGTGAATCCAGATTCAGTTATGTGAGGTGTTTGTTTTTACCATAAAAATTGTAACTTTTTGCTTAAAATCATCAAACACGTTCTATAAATGCATGAGTGAATCTCGATTCACTGCAGTGAATCCAGCTTGTTTTTACTTCAATAAACGCATGAGTGAATCTAGATTCACTTCAGTGAATCTCGATTCACTGCAGTGAATCCAGATTCAATTATGTGAGGTGTTTGTTTTTTACCATAAAAATCATAACTTTTTGCTGTAAAAGGTGAAAATTTTTCATGTTATAAAATTTTATAGCTTGTTTTTTACCATAAGTTTCTTATTCTGCTTGGATGGTTAGAATGATTCACAAATCCAGTGGAGCAGCAAATCGATTGGAGTGAATCCATGACTCTTGATAAAGATCTTGATCAAAATAAAGATACTCATTTATTACAAAAGGGTATAATTAAAATTTACAAAATAAGTAATTAATGATCCTCTTCCTCCATGTTTTGGATCATGACTCTTGATAAAGATCTTGATCAAAATAAAGATACTCATTTATTACAAAAGGGTATAATTAAAATTTACAAAATAAGTAATTAATGATCCTCTTCCTCCATGTTTTTTAGGCAACAGAGAGAAAGTAACAAAATTGAGTTTGGTAGTGAGAGAGAGAGAGAGAAAGAGAGAGAAATAGGTATGCTTGGTACCAAACACAAAATTGTGTTTGGTAGTGATGTGTCATATTTTTATCCACTCATTTTAATTTTCAACTACTTAATTTGATACGCGTAACTATGAAATAAATCTCAAGCAAAAAATAGGAATTGAGATTGTATTATCATGTAGGTAAATAAATAAATGTTATTAGAGCTTCTCTTAATATTAAATTTAAAAGTAATAATTTATATTATTAAGCATCAAATATTAGTTCATGTGAGAAAGTAAAGTAATATATGGTCTATATACCTTTTTAGTTAATCAATCAAACGTATTAAAATTATGATGACCACCGTTAAAATTATATGGTGGGTTCACATTAAATATAATTTATAAAAAATAGTACATTAAAGTCAAAATCCTAAATTATATGGTGGGTTCACATTAAATATAATTTATAAAAAATAGTACATTAAAGTCAAAATCCTTTTAACCACTATATAGTTTATAAAAAATAGTACATTAAAGTCAAAATCCTTTTAACCACTATATAGATTGTCTGAAATTTTTTGCAAACTATTCTGCTTAGGAATAGTGATGTGCACTTAATTATGGCCTAATACATGTTAAGAAGAACTTACTCTTCATTATCATCATTAATTGATGTATCTATGTATTACACTGAAAACACAATGAAAATTTAGAAGGTTACAAAAGAAACACCCTTAAAAGTTTTGAAAATTGTAAAAAAATATCCTAAAATTTTATAATTTACAAATACACAAAACTATTAAACATTACATTAAAATCAAGGAGTTGCAAAAAATCATTGAAAATTTTTAAACTTTGGAGGAGTAATTTGCAATGTACTAAACTTTAAGGGTGTTTTTTTTTGTATTTTTCAATGAAAAACGTCTTAGATCTGAAATACAATGTGGTACTACTTTTGTCTTTTTTCAAATCAATATCATGAAATTGCTAATTGTAGGTGAGTTTTTAGCGTATAAACCAAAATATTTGGACAATTTATTCTAAACCACTAACTTCACCAAATGTTTTCTCTTCTATAAACAAAAATACTCTATTGAATTAATTTTAAACTAATTTGCATTTCACCAATTTGATATATATGGGGAGTTGCTAGATTTTAATGTTACTTTTTATTATATTTTACTGTTGTTTGCTATATAAATGTAGTGTGTTTTAAAATAATCTCAAATCGGCTATCTATTTCAACAATTTGTGTAAGTTGCTATATTGCAACTTGCTATATTGTTTGGTCTGGGTATTTAATATACAATGCAGTGGTAAACCAAAAATGGTTATACTGTTATTTTTTTGTCATTTTCACACTAACGCCGTGCAAAGATAAATTTTGTTCATTTAAGTTTTTATTAGTGATATTTTTTACAGCATTCCAATATTTAGATGTGTATAATATACAATTTTTGTACGGTAAATTCACAAATGTGCTTGCATGACGCTCTTAAATTCAAATTACATAAAAATCCTTTTCTCACGTGCTTCTCCTGACGTCTTATCAGGTATCACTCACACGCGACCAGCCCACAGTTACACGTACGGGGGCATTAACGTCATTACTCCATTGAATAAACAAGAAACAAGAAACTCCCAGCTGGCTTCCAAACTAAAAAGACAAGAACACCCTCCAAATGCGACTGGCAACAGCCGGTCAACCCCAGCTTGACCGGACAACACCGACCTACTATAAATAGAAAAGCCCTAATAAAAAAGGCAACGCCCATTGTCCGATCCGTTTTCTCTCTCCTCATCTCTCTCTTAATCCAAACGAAACCCTAAAAGCCCTCTCGTTTCTTTTCTCAGATCTCATCCCCTTCCCTATAAAAGAATCCAAGATTTAAATCTCTCCCTCTATAAATCGAATGCTTTCTCAATTTCCCGCTCAAACCTAACGTTCTAGTCTCCGATCTCTCTCAAACCTAAGATTTGAACTTGAATCGGTCGAATTTGGTACTATTTTGAGCGAAATCGTTAGATCTGGCCTCAATCTTCCTTTATTTTGGTCTAATCGCTTTGAAAACCATAGAAACTGCTTAAAATTGGAGTAATAAGTGGAATAATAAAAGAAACGTTGTAATTTGGGGGCTTTTTGAGATAATTTATCTAAATATCTGGGAGCTTAAAGTAGATGGCAGATCAGGTGTTGGAAGGGAGCCAGCCTGTTGATCTCTCAAAGCATCCATCAGGAATTGTTCCTACGCTGCAGTAAGTTTTTGATGAATCTCTCTCTAATTTCTTTCAAAAAGAGGGGATATTGGTGTAGATTCAAAAGATAAAAGGAAATGAAAATGTCTTAAAGAGGGGTTTTCCTCCCTTCCTTTTTTCTTTTTTCTTTTTTTAAATTTGCGCTCGGATTTTTCTAGATTACTCGGTCTAATTTCGGCCAATTACTATCTTGGCTGATATAATTACATTTGGAATCACACAGAAAGCTCTTGTATGATGAAATTCCTTTTCCAACCGTGGATAATTGTATGACGAGGAGAGTACAGAACTATTTTCTAGTTTTATACATGTTTGGTTGCTGTATACACGTGGAGTTGTATCCGGTTCATGAAATTTAGTCATGTTTGAGGGGAAAAGGCTAGCCGAGCTTAACTCCCTTTTTCCTCTTTATTTACCTTTTATGGGTTTTTTGACATCAATAGTGTAATCAGAATTTGTGTATTTCTTTGGTGTTTAACGATATGGATTTATGTGGAAACTGCATGGAC